CAGGAATGTACGGATCTCTACCTTGGGACAGGGGATGGGCCCTCTGTGAGTTCATGGTTTGGGGTTAGCAGGCAAACTGACACTGTCCCCAGTGACCACCACAACAGACAGAACCCACATCATGGGCTGAATGAACTCACTGGACATTCTGTGGACATTTTACAGGGACGGTCCATACACTAAGAGAATGATACCTTTGTGTAAATCGAAGGCTGGGAAGGGGGGTGATGATTAATGAGGATGTATTGGATAATGTGAGACCTGAGCATGCTGTAAATAGTACGGAAAGAGGGGTGGAGGTTGTCCTGGTTTTGCTGGGATGGAGGTAGTTGCAGCTCTTCTGGTGCTCTGTGTTGTGGATTTGTGACAAAACCAGTGCTGAAAACACAGGACTGTTTTAGTTAGTGCTGAGCAGGGCTTGTAGAGCATCAAGGCCTTTTCTGCTTCTCACACTGCCCATCCAGCGAATAGGCTGGGGGTGCTCCAGAAGCTGGGAAGGGACACAATGAGGACAGCTGACCACATGGGATATTTCATGCCATATGACATTGTGCTCAGCAGTAAAAACTGCAGAGATGGAGGAGAAAGAGGGGGCATTCAGAGTTGTGGGGTATGTCTTCCCAAGTGACAGTTACGCGTGACGGAGCCCTGCTTTCCTGGAGATGGCTGAACATCGGTCTACTGGTGGTAAAGCTTTTAACCAGACAGACCTCAGGATGAACACTTGCAGTACTCTGTGTGTTACTGGGCTGCAGGCAGAGAACTGCTCATTCACTATCAGATTCTGAACCCCACCATCAAACCAGCCCTCCAGACTGTAATGTTCTTCCTTGGACATGTGGCTGGGCCCAAAGAGTTGTGGTGAATGGAGTTACACCAAACCAGCGGCCAATCAGAACTGATGTTCCCCAGGGCTCAGTATTCGGGACAGATCTGTGTGTCTTTATCAATGATCTGGATGAGAGGATCGAGTGCGCCTTCTGTAACATTGCGAACAACACCGCATTGGGTGGGAGTGTTGATATGCTTGAGGTTAGAACGGCTCTACGGAGGGATCTGGACAGTCTGGAATGATGAGCCAAGTTCAACTGTATGAGATTCAACAAGGCCAAGTGCCAGGTTTTGCACGTGAGTAACAACAACCCCATGCAATGCTACAGGCTTGGGGAGGAGTGCCTGGAAAGATGCCTGGTGGAAAAGGACCTGGGTGTGTTGGCTGAAAGCCATCTGACTATGAGCCAGCAGTCTGCCCAGATGGCCAAGCAGGCCAACGGCATCCTGGCTTGTATCAGCATTAGTGTGGCCAGCAGGAGTAGGGAAGTGATCGTGGCCCTGTACTCGGCACTGGTGAGGCCACAACTCGAGTGCTGTGTTCAGTTTTGGGCCCCTCACTACATGAAAGACATTGAGGTGCTGGAGTGTGTCCAAAGAAGAACAACGAAGCTGGCCCTCATCTGGTCATGGTCTCCTTGTTTATCTACACTGCAGTGTTTGCCTAGCTGAAGCCTTCTTCCATCTCCTCCTTATGTCTGGATCTTGGGATAGCTGTGCTGTACTTTGTGGTACCTCCAGCAGGGAACACCCTTATTTCCAGCACGAGGAACCAGGAGATCAAGGAAGCCTTTAAATCATTGATTCCATGGACACTTGGTAACAGTGATGAAATTACCACCTCTCTGCATAAATGATTCCCAGAGTACCTAATTCCAGGGTGGGTTTTTTTGTTTCTTTGTTGTAGGTTTTGTGCTTGTTTTTTTTTTTTTTTATAATATCATTATAGTTATCATTATTGCTGACGTTATTTTTAATTCATTATTTTTAGGTTTCTACACAAATGTCTGTTTGTGTCAGAACATCTGAGTCATGCACCTGCTCTGCGTGATAGGGGCACCAGGTGCTCTTATAAAAGCATGTTTAACACGGGCTCAGTGTTAGCCTCTCTTGTAGCATCTCTGTAATAAAAGGGGATCTCCTGATCTCCTCGGTGCAATGCTTTCATGCTGGACTATTTCTCCAAAGAGTCCTGAGGAACTGCAGCACTAAATTTCCTCTTCCTCTGTGTGTTCTGGACTAAAAAGTTTTGTGTCTATTTGTGACCTGCTAGAGACACAGGACTGGATTTAGGAGTCACCAGTTGATTCTGGCAGGTAAGATGGTGAATGTAATGGAGGGAAGTACCCAGGGCTTTCACACAGGTGACATTAAGGACACCCATCCTTTAGGAGGACAATCTGGAGCTGCCTGGAAAGCACGGTGGTTCTCCAGGGACAGCATGTACCTGAGTTGAGTGGGTGTGGAAGAGGTCTTCTCCAGTTCCTCCCCACCAGTCTACAGCAGGAACTGCCAAAGAAGGACACTCTAGTCCAGATGTGACCATACCACGGCTCACTGGAGGGGGATGAAAATTGAAGATGTCCGGGGTGGCCACGCTCCTCCTAACGCAGCCCCATATGCAGTTGACCTTGTTCATGGTGAGCATGCACCACTGGCTCTTATGATGTCCTTCATAATGCCCAGGTCCTTGTCCTCAGTGTCAGTGCTCAGCCAGTCAGGACGCAGCCTGTCCTGATACATAGAGTTTAGAATTCCCCTGATGCAGGACTGGCTACTTCTTGAAAAACTTTACAAGTTTCTGTCAGGCGAATCCCGCAGTTTCTCAAAGTCCCCCTGGACTGAAGCTCCATTTTGCCTGCCCTTGATGTCTTTGTGCAGATGGCTCCACCCTGATTGTGGTGAGCCATCAACACAATCTCGAAGCTTATGATATTGCAGAACACTACAGCTAATGAAAGGAGTTACTAGCTTTGTACTGACCAATGCAGGAATCAGCACAACGCTCTTAGAAGCACTGTACGAGTGCACAAAGAGAGCAAAGCCAGGGGCAGTGGGGAAAGAGCAGAGCTGGGCTGTT